CGACACCTCCCTCCACCGCAACCCCTCAGGCCAGGCCAGTCACCGACCCTGCCTGGGATTCCTGGCCCCTCCTCAGGAGAAGGGGTCTTTCGTTGAGAGTGTCGTCGTCTTTTTTTTTTATTATTTTTTGGCTTGTTTTTCGGCTTCCTCTTAAATAAAATAGTTATGCTGTGGGTAAGGGAGGAGGCGCGGCGTGTGTGAGGAGGGGACGGCGGACGCGCCCCTCGGCCCCGCTGCGTTGGGACCGCGCCGGCCCAGACCAGAAAGGCGGGAAGAGGAATACGGGGCTGGAAGAGCGCTGACAGGAAGGGTGAAACAGTCTTTAATTATATCCCACCGACACCTCCGCCCCCCGGCCCAAGCGGGCAGGTTTGTGGATTGCTGCCACAAGAGCCGTCCCCTCCCTTCCTCCCGTTTGGTTCACAGATGGATCAGGATCGGCGAGGGAGGGGGGGAGGGGGGGGGCGTGTGAAGGAAAACAAGAGAGCCATTTGTGTTTTGAAATGCCGTTTGGTATGTACTTGGGGTTCGTGCCCTCGGGAAGGCCCGGCTGGATTGCTCTCTCGTGTGGAAGGAGCCTGTGGCTGTGCCCCTGTTTCCCCTCGCTGCTCCCCACCGGCTCTCTGGTTTGCATCACCCGTGTAACTCCTGCTGTGTTCGCGCTGGACGTGTCCTGTCTCCCACTTAAAAATAAAAACAGATGTCAGAAACACTCTCTTTCTAGCCAGGTGTTCCTCTCATCACTTACTCTGGTAATGCCTGCGCAGTAAGGGAAGAATTCCAGAATAAGAGCCAGACAGACCAGAGAGTGAGAAAGGAGTTACGAGACATCTGTTCCTTACAAAGGCTCTCTGTGTTGCTGCACTTTTTTGTAAAGCTGCTGCCTTATTACTGAGCCGACTGATACAACTGACATGACTGACAGCATGATGTTCTGGTGCTAAAGGAAGATAAGTCTCCTTAGCATGTACAGTAAAATAACTGTGATGGATAAATATAATATAGTATTTTATTCCCCTCAATATCTACCTAGGTAAATGAGTTCTCCTAATGTAGGGGAAAACAGCCAGTGTTATCACCATGCAGCCTGCGTTAGGTTGTGGCTGCTTGTCTGTACTGAGGTAAAAACAGTTGTAAAATACACAGTGAAAATCTTGTGGTGATACCAAAGAGAAAGGGTGTGTGTCATGGCAATATTGCTCTGGTATTCTTACTGTTGTATTTTGGTGTGTTGTACAGGCTGGTTTGCAAAACCTACAGGAAACAAGACATCTGTGACTCCTCATGAGGAGATGAAGGCAGCATTTATGGCTGAAATGAAAGCTGAAAACATCAAGCAGTTTCTTTAGTAAGCAATGTGTAGACTAATCTGTCAAAAAAAAAAAAAAAAAAAAAAATTCAAGCAGGGGCCAGCTCAAGGATGCCACCAGACAGAGGAGGGTGTGCAAGTTCTCAGCCATAGATTTTCTCTAATGTGTCTGTGAGTTGTGATTGACAAAACAGTCCATCTCAGCTCCTCTTATACTTGTTTGTGTTGGAAATGGTTGAGGAGTTGTCAGTAATATCAGTACTTAAAGTAATTAAAAATTGGCCAAGCTCTTGCTGAGCCTTTGGTGAATGCTTGTATAATGCAGAGGTGCAACCTTTCGCTTATGTGCCCTTTTTCAGTCCACAATAATGTTTACCTTACATTGTTTTTTATGGAAAAATCATTAACCTCAAATTAGGCTGTATGAATGAACTTTAATCAGGAGAGATTAAATGGAAAATAGCAGAGTACATCAATGTAAAACAGAAGAAAATCATACCAGTGTTGAAGCCTTTGGTTCTTCCTACATCTTAGGCCTTAATACCTTTTTGCTACTCTCCCTTCACACTTTCTCATGCTGTGACCAAATTTATGGGTTAATCTGTCACCATTCCAACCTTGTACTCGCTTTCATGAAAAAAGATAGGTTTCCAAGCTCTTTCTTTCTGCATAGTGAATAGCTAGAACAGACACAGTAGATACCAGCTTGTCATCTGATGGTACATTACACTTCTCATAATAAAACTAATAGTCTTAAAGTTTTAGAGTCTTTTTTAAGACCATAGTTTTTTTACCAGCAATTTTTTAGTCTCATCTACCCTTTGGTACTTAAATTAGGTGATTTTAAATGTAATCTTGTTTCTTTTATTAAATACTGAAAGCAAAGCTGCTAACATTTGTTCCTGCAAATTCGAACAATGGAAGATGACAATATAGGTATTTTTTTTGCTTGTTTAATTACTGTAATTAATTTCTTAATTTCTGTAACTTAGAAGCTTTAACTATGAGGAAGCCAATGCACTATTATTTGTTGATTTTAGGGATCTTGTAAACAGATTATGTGGAGAGTGTAGTATTTGTTATTTATTCCAGTCTGTAATAGACCAAAAGTCACAGTTTTATTGATAGAAATTTACTTTCTGTGTAAAGAAAATGTTACAGTATCAGTTATTTTAGGAGCAATCAACAAATTCAAGTTTGCCCTAAATTCCCAGCCTGATTAAATAGCATGAAGTTGTATCTTGCTACAAAACTAAATTACTTAAAAAAACATTTTCAGTTTATGGGATTGTGACAGTCCCATTCATTTAATTTTAAGTGCATTTGCCACAAACTGTTGCAAATAAATTATCTGGAAAGTATGTTCTCTTTACTACCTAACAGCCACATCCGGGACTATATAAACATTGAAAACTGAAGACTTAGGATTTTTTACAGTCTTAACCTGTGTTTTGGCTCCTAAAAAGTCAACTATTGCTAAACAGCTGTGTAAAAGGACTGCTTTCTGCCCTCTTAACTCCCTGTCTCTATGCCAACGGGAAACATTGTACCCCATTTACTGTCATGTGGCCAGTTCTGTGGTGAAATACAGCAGATACTTAGTCTCTGCTGAGAACTACCAGTGCAGGCAGTCAACAGATTAGAAGAGGAAATGAAGAAAAACACAATATTCAGTTAAATGGGAATGTAATAAAGGAGAATGTTATTGCATGAGTCAAATTTTAATGAAAACATGAAACTTAAACATTCCAAACTACTACAGAAAACAGCCATTGTCTCTAACAATAACATATAACTGTGCTCTTGGTTCAGTATGTCACCCAGAAAAGGGCACAGTCACTGTAGCAGGGACTTTAGTACAGTGTTGTTCCTGGATGTTGGCATTATCAGAGAAACATCGTTCTGTCTAGCAGCATTTGATACAAAAGCAGAAGTGTATAGTTCTTTCAAAGTGCTTTGTTTGATGGCTTTGTTCTCATTGGAACTCAAGAATTATAATTTTTCCCATCCTTATACCCCTTCCTTATCAAAGATCCAATTTCCTTCATTAACACTAGCTGGTGTGACAGATGCTTCTATGGCATGTTGATGGCATGGTCATATGACAGGATGAGGACATCACGATGACAACCTCATTCAGCTGGGTGTTTCTTCAGCTTACTTCACCATTGGGCTTTCTCAATGATCTGGACAATTTATTTTTTTTTCAGACAATGGATTGCTCACTATTTACAGTATCTTTCACTGTTTGTTGTTCGTACTAGATGACTTTTTCTCTTAAGTTACAAGCTATTGAGTTTTTCTGCCCCTTGTTTGTAAGCCCCTGTGAACTCACTTTTATTTGCCAACAAGACACATACAGTGAACTTTTAGATACATCAGTATTTGTGCAAAAATTGATTAAAATAGTGGGACTTAAGGAGAATATCCAGTTAATTAAAAGTAGGGATCACACTAATTATGCACATTTCTAAATTGAATACACAAAGATAATTATACTCAATTCTTTTATCACTTCACAAGGAAGGTCAGTCTCATTATTCATAGGAGATATTGGCATAAGGTCACCCAGAAGACAAGGGACAAAGCAAGGACAAGACCCCACAGCTGACGTCTTCATGCCATTCTTGCTAAGCCATGCTGCAAGGAAGATACAAACACCTGTGGTAGCACAGGTCAGACTGAACTCCATTACCTCAACTTATTTATAAGACAGGCAAAAACATGGATACAGAGGAGTCTTGGTCCTTATTTTGCCTGAGTACATCTGATCATCTTTAGGGGGTTTATTTCCAGCTAGGCTAAGATGAGTTCTGACTTTGAGCTGCAATGCCTGATTCTGACTCGTTGCTTCTTTTTCTTTAGCAATTTTACACAGCTTCCTCACCTAGCAGGAACAAAGGAGAATCTGCATCTGGCACAGCAAGTCCAAGCTGAGTGGAAAGAGTTTGGTTTGGATTCTGTTCAGCTGGTTCATTATGATGTCTTGCTCTCTTATCCTGATGACACTAAGCCCAACTACATCTCAATAACTGATGAGCATGGATATGAGGTACAGAAATACCAGGTTTTGCAACCAGGGAACAAATTCACCTTTATACACCTGGAAAGCCTGGGAGGAAAAGCTGTCCTCTGCTTTATTAACGGTGTTGGGCCTGACCCAGAGCTCATGGAAATGAGGAGTTCCAGTTTGCTTTTATATCTTGAATCTTTGTTTCTTAATGTATGTGCTAGGAATACTAATAATTACCCCGATTCTTAAAGCATACTGACGTAGGAGATTTATGTAAGAGAATTACTTTATGTAATGAAATTGTTTTAAAATTGCACTGTTATTTAGAAAGAGGAAAGCAACCATGGTTAGCATCATTATTTGCATTGATTCTTTACACAGTATTGGTAATCGTGCTAAATGCAATTTCTTGAAGATTAGAGTTTATGCCTTGAGATGTACTATCACAAGTAACATCAGTTCATTACAGAGCAGCTCTAGCGCTCGTAGAGGCTCCAGGGATCAGCAGAACACAAGCATTTTTTACAACTATGGTCTAACCTGCTCTTACCTGCTGTACTGAGACCACCTTAAGGGACCTTGTCTTCATTTAAGCGGGATTCTGTGTGAAGAGTGGAGATGAGATTTGCAACATCACACATTGAACCTGCATACTGAGAAGCGTGCTCTAAAACTGAAGTCTTTTAAACTGCAAATGCATGTGAAATGTGCCTGAATAGACAGTACTTCTTTTCCACATTGCCTGGTTTACTTTTTTTTCTGTTCTTCTTTCCCACTAGATTTACAACACATCACTAGCTGAACCTCCTCCTCCAGGATATGAGGCGGTTCGAAATGTGGTGCCACCCTACAGTGCGTTTTCAGCTCAAGGAATGCCTGAGGTAACATAGTAGAATAGTAAAAGAAATAGAAGTAGAAATGGAAACAGAAATAGAAGTAGGAACAGAAATAGAAAAAGAAATATAGACAGCAATAGAAATAATAGAAATAGAAAAGATGGAATGCCATAGAGTAGTATAGTGTACCACAGCACAGAATAGCATAAAGCGATACAGAATAATGTGAAATTCCTGGATCTTAGGCTTGAGTTCAAAACCTGACATATCACCAGTAGGAAAGATGTCTTAGCTCTGATGTTCTTGGGAGTTTTGCAATGAAGCAATGTTCAAATTGAGCCATCATACATATATGTTTATAATTTTTTTCTCTAGTGTGAGTCAGAACTGGGTTTTATTTTTACCTTTTCCTTAAAATATATAGTAATAAATCTTTAATGTTGTCAGCTGCTATAAGCCTCTCCAGTTATTTCTGTGACTATGCACAATTGTTTCCCATCTTGATGAACATATGACTTACATTTACGTAGGCAAATGAACAATCTGATTTTCAAAATGATGCTTGCCCAAGGCTCACAATGACAGGTATAACTGTACAGTGTGCTTGAAAATGCCTTTTGCTAGCATTTCTATCTGGTGGTAAAACTGTCGCTGTGATCTGAGATTAACACTAATCCTTTCTATCGTGTTGTACAGATGGTATCAGCTGATGGGCTTCCTTTTATAAAGCTGGCCTGTCTTAACACAATTTTTCTATCCTATGACCATTAGTGGTTTCAATTAATATTTTATAAGATTAGATTTTCTTTTTGTTGTTCTCAGTATCTTTCCTGTCTATACATTCTGTACATAGAATAATGTACCTTGGCAGGGCCCTCTGGAGGTCATCTGGTCCAGTCTCTGCTTTTAAGTTGGATCTGACTTTGAAACCTGCTAACAATGCTTTTACTCACACAGCCCGATATTAGTCATGTACTTTCTGAAGTTTGTTAATAAGCTGTGCAAATCCAGAAAACAAAAGGTATCCTGTATTCATTTGCCTCAGATACTCAAAGGAAGCTGGATAGGCAGATAGTCTGTATCCTAGGATATGACAGCTCTGAGTATTTCAAGAATTGCTGTGGGAATTTTGGAACATAATGTAAGGTAAAATTCATGGATTCTGACTTTGTATCATAACATAATATCACCAAAGAAAGACAGAATAACTTCACAGCTTTATTCAGTTTCTGGAGAGCTACAGTAAGTGATGGGCTATGGGAAATAATAAAAACAAGTTTTAAAAGCTGCAGCTTCCTTCTTTAGAAAATTAATTATATATAAGAACATTGTTTCTGAAAAAAAGCCCAATAAATAAAAGTCAAACTGTCTTTTCAATGTATGATGCTTATGTTCACCTTATTACATAATACTTCGATAAGAGCTCCAGGTACCTAGCTAGTGCTGTTAGCAATAACATTCTCCTGTGAGCAGTTGTCTGCACCTGTACTGCAAACAGGGAGCATGTACATAGCTCAGCAGTGGGAATACTCAGTGCGTTCAGGGCTCTTCGGAGTTCTCCCGGCCCTGTTTATGTACTTTATGTTAAAAGCCATTCTATTAAAACCCAGAACTAAACTATGGAGGGAGATATTTGGAACTTGTCAAGTGCAGGTTCTCTTTCTGCTCATCAATTTTACGAATGATTCCTGCATAAAGCTCCAAGTTCAATGAAGGGAGAAGGCTGTAAAGTACCTGCATCCCATGCTAACTGTAGTCTCACGAGTAGGCAACTTCCTGGAAAGCGGTAGAAATGGATCAAAGTTCCTGAGAAGCAAAGAATGCAGATCTCACATTTTCTGTGTGAGTCCTCTAATCAGGGAGTTGTGGAAATACAGTTCAGCGCTGCTAGCACTATAACTTTTTCCTGAAGCTGCTTTTTAAAGATACATAGCAGTGACTGTGTTTCGGAGGTTAAATACTGCCAGAGTGGGATAGGAGCTACTTGCCTGCTAGAGTGAGACCCTGCAGAGATTTAGAAGTAGTTTCCACTCATCTCAGGTTCTCAGTAGATGGAAGATGGAATATATCCTGGTCTGTCATACAGATTGTCAGAATATGTATGTTTCTCCTGTGTGGTGTGGTTTAACTAAATCACAATAAACAGTTGGATGAAAAAAGTGAAGCTTTGAACAGAAACTTCTTTTAACAAATACTCAGCAGAAAGCAGACAGAGTAGTGAAATCACATTCTATCAGACAGTAGTAGTAGTTTGGAACATTGCCATTATAAGTAATGGTAAAATTCTGTTCTTCGCTTCATTTTTAAGTGACTTCAAAAGTACTCCCATCTAGTTAATGATGGTCACAAGTAAGAGTGTTCTTGAGATCTCTAACTACACTAAAAGAGCCCAGACAAGACATTTTATGAGTTCACACTACATTTCCAAAGCTTTTGTTTTATGATAGTTCTATAAACATGAGGGATTTCATCACATCACTAGTAAATTATGATACAAAACTGTCACAATGGTCTGATAAGAAATTTATTGCATCAGTGTAGTTCTTAGTCCTGTTAATGAAAGTTAAGAGATGAAGAGTTTTCAGAGATGCTAAAAAAAATGTAATTAAAGCCTGATTTGCTATGCAATAAATCGAATATTGACAGAATCTTCAAATAAGTACCTTTTAATGTAGTTTCAGAAATCTGGTGTTGATTTTCTGCAACACCAGAATGCTGTAAATACAGATTATATACTTTATATCAGATGTAGTTATGAGAGCTGCTTCTAAAGATCAGAACTGTTCTTTTCTTTATGTGATGGCATCTATTTAATCAAAGACATTATTTAAAAAAACTGTAAAGTGTGAACAGGTTTTCACCATAAAATGTTACTCTCATGTTAACTTGTTTTGCACTTCATTGTAGAACAAGGGCCCTGAAATGTGAGAACCCAGCAGGTTACTATTAATTGTTATAATTACAGCTCTTCAATTATGTAAGCAAAACTAATGAAATCAACATTTTTGTATTTGTCAGAAAAAATACAATAGCCTACAAATGCAGATATTCTGTACAAGACTAAAGAAATTATTTTAAAATGGAGGACCAAATTCCCCTTTTACTTACTCTAAATAGACTGGAAGAACTGTATTGGCTTCAGTGGAGTTACACTTGATTTTACTGAGAGGGAAAACTACTCCATAAATTCAGAACAGCTTCTACAAGAATAATCCTTGTGTTTATGAATTATTCTATGAGCAGAGAGGACCAGAATCTTACTAGGTGTGAAACTGTGTGCCTTATTTAAATACATTCCCCTTTAGTTCATGAATTTATCCTAACTGAATTAATTTTGCTTAATTTAAGAAGAAATTGCAATTTGAGCAGGTTACTGATGAAACCAGTACAGTCAGAATGACTGTACCAGAGTCGTATCAGGACATGTTGTATGCTGTTATATGAGACCACCTGAATGTCTAGTCAGTGATTTTTTTCAGTATAAGAGATTTAAGCTTATACCTTTTTGAAATTAAATTGAAGATCTCTCGGGGAGTGTCTGGTAATATGCAGAAATGCACTAAAGAAGAGTTTCCTATCACCTAATTTTAGTTGTCTGAAATGGTAGGCATTTTCCCTTAACCAGTCTTTGAGGCCTATTATAGACATTTACTCAAAGCCTTTGAGGTGTAATCAATGAGAGGTATATCCAAAGACCAATTTATTCCTTTCTAAAATAGGTATTTAAAACAGGTTTGGGGTGAATTTTTCTGAAAAGGGTGAGTTCTCGAGAACTTCCCAGCTCTTCATTGTCTATGGAGTGCACTATAGGACCTTCTTAGACAATGTGCACAACTTTTAGGTAGTGACATCAAGGAAGATTAATTATGCATCAAGTACTGAATAACATGGCTGAAACCCAATCATGAAGAATACTGTATTCATGTGCAAGTATATTTATTTTGACAGTCAACCACCTGTAGCTTCTGCTGTATTGAATAAGAATTGAGTCCTGAGAATTTCATAGGATATTGGCATCATTTACTCTGCTGCATAAAATATTTACAGTGGTGTCTGTGTCCAAAATACCTCCAGCTGTCCAAGACTGACTACAGCTTAAACAGACTATGAAAAGAAGTAAATGCTGTATTCTGAGCGCTTACTCTTAAGTTTCTGATTCAGAAGTCCTATCTTAACCCACCATTGAAGACAAAGTCTTGCGGGTTTGGATGGTAGGAGTCTAAATTCATTAGAAGTCTCTTGCCTACCTAATTGTCTCATGATCAAAGAAGAATTCATACCAGAGCCAGTCCCGGAGCTCATCATTCCCAGCTTATTCTCTTACTAGATCACATCCTCCTTTTGACATGCTCATTGACATTCTTGTTTCAAATTCTACCTCTTTCTATCAGGGTGAGTTAGTGTATGTGAATTATGGCCGCACCGAGGACTTCTTTAAGCTAGAACGTGAAATGGGAATTAACTGTACAGGAAAGATTGTTATTGCCAGATATGGGAAGATCTTCAGAGGAAATAAGGTAATGCCTCTGTATGAAAATGTTACTTGTGCTGTCCTTCAGTTGATTTTCAAGAGACTGAAACACACATTAAAGCGCTCTGGAGATTTTAGTGTAACTGAGATTTTCATGGAGAAGATTCTTTCTTAGAAGATATAAATATATATATATATTATGTATATAATACATCGATAGGATAAAAGTAGGTAAGTTGGAAAATGTTCCATATTTTTATGTTCATTTGCATACTATAAAGAGTTCCAAAATATTACTAACATTCTCCGGTAATACACTCTAACTCTGAACTAGGCTGTTCTTTCCTATTGGTTCAGCTGTGCTTTAAGATGCCTATATTGTATTTCTTTATAATGGTTTCTGTACACCAGGCAGAGACTATAACTGTATGGAGTTTATTTTAAATTCTGTATTTGTTTATTCAATGTCCCTATCATATAAATATTTTTAAACTACAGATTTCTGCATATTTCCATGGCCTGTACATGGAAAGTACATAATCATGTGCATACCTGAGGCCTATACTCAAATTATTTCCTGAATAGGGATGTAAGAAGACAGTCTATTTAAGTGTGTTTGGCTCTTGTACAAAAATTAGTTTGACCCTAATTTTGGCAGGACTATAATTTGTGTTTCTCAGTTGCCTAAGGGTATCAAACACTGAATCTCCTCGCTGGAACACCAACTCTTATTATATGCTGTTCGCTAATCTTCTGTGAGCTTTTAAGTGGGTAATGCACTGGTTTACATATATATCATTTTAAGCAGTGGAAAGCAACATGTAACTCATATTCTACGTCAGATAATATTTTGACTAAATTGTTTACCACTCTTAAAGGTACTATCTGATTGGAAAAGTCTTAAAAATTGAAGAAGGCATTGCTATCTATGAATCTTTTATTAACATTAAATAGAAAAACCTCGGAGTTACTAGTATCTAGAGGGGCAGTTGTCCTGTGGTTTAGAAATTACGTGCCCTTGTTGACTGACAAAGGGATGATATGTTCATTCATTTCTGATGACTATTTATACACTGTATAAATAGCCTGTATAAAATCTGGAGAACTGTACTGTGATTTTCCAACTTCCTAATGGTGTGCAAGAATAGGATAGAGAATTACGGCAAGTACTGTATTTTCTGAAAAACAGCTTTGGTATTTCTGAATTAAAATACCCAAGTTTAAAACTGTTGAGGATCAGTTGTCACTCAGTCACTATACATCACTGTCTTATCTAGTGGCAAAAATGATTTGAATGTCAGAATGACATGTATTTTCTTTCTCTCGCTCTCCATCAACCAGAATTATACAATAATAAAGAACACTTTTTAAAATCGAAACAGCACGCAGGGCAGTCCTTCTGCTGTATTAAGTTTAAGGCTCGTCAACAAGCCTCTTTGGAGTTTGGCTTGTTCACAGCCAAAGACAGTTTCAAGCTTTCCAATAATAATAACATTTCTGTGTGGTCTGAAGTTTTAGATACATTACGACATCATTTGGGTAAATAAGGTAAATACATGACTAACTAAAAGATAAGATTGCATCACTGTGATACAGTTTTTTCCATCTGTGTTGTGTACAGTTCAGTAAGTTGATTGCATTAATCTGGATGACAGAATACCAACTCAGGTTATGTAGTAATACTATGAAGGATGTTTTCCATGTTACTGCAGTCATTTCCTAAAATTCAGAGGAACAGCAAACCTTTTCCTTTCATATGGAACCTGATATCTGCATATATATTTTCAGGAAATTTTATGATATGAGACAGTTATGGGCCCTTTACTTAGCCCAAGCATTGTAAAAAGCCCTGAGGAATAATCACTGTGATTTATAATAACTTTCTTTTGCCCCTTGAACTCTTGTGTCAAGCTATAAAGGACTGGATAGGGACCGGAGATGTGCTTTGCAGGTGAAGAATGCTGAATTGGCAGGTGCCAAGGGAGTTATTCTGTACTCCGACCCTGCTGACTACTGTGCCCCAGGAGTAGATCCCTATCCAAATGGATGGAACCTTCCAGGCGGAGGAGCCCAGCGTGGAAATGTATTAAACCTCAATGGAGCAGGGGATCCTCTGACACCAGGTTATCCTGCAAAAGGTGAGTGACAGTAAAGAAGTCACGCTCTGAGGGTCTGGTTTCAGGGAGGGAGGGGAAGGTAATGGGGATGTTCTTTCCCTTGGAGTAAAACACATTATTTCTTGGTCTTTCTGTTGCTCATAAGAGGCAGTTTTGGGCTTCACATTGGCAGGCCACTTCTGCAAATGGTGCATGAGAGAAAGTGAGAGGATGTTAAGGGAGTCACACAGTGCAGTGCTGGGCTGCTTAACTTCACAGACATACCCAGTTAGCCCAGAGATCATGACACAAGTATTCCACAGCTGAAGCCCTACTTTTTCTTTCTGTTTCTCATCAGGGAGTCAGCAAGGAGCCAGCCTGCACAGCTCACAGGTTGCTTTGCTTTTGCAGTTCTCCTTTCTGCAGGATTTGGGCTGCTTTCCCTCCACAAGAGCCCTTACTAGCAATGCTGAGACCTTTCACGCTGGGACTCATCACCTGGCTGCAGCTGCGGCTTCTGAGAAGATGACCATTCCCCACTGGTTCATCACCTTCCTCAGCTGCTTATTTGAGCTCTGCCTAAGCTTTTTCATTTAGTACCTAACCCAGATCATTTTGACTGAAATGCATTAAGACCCTTTCATACCAGCGTTTGAGCCAGCATATCTGAGAGAGGCCGTCACCTCAAGGAGAGTAGTCCCTAAGTGATGGGGAAAGTTGCCTCTAGTGAGCACAACTTGGGCTGGAAGAGGATACGTGTTCACAATGACAGCATGGCAGAAGCAGACCACGAGGAAGATTTCTGGTTCCTCATGCTTGAGTCAGTGCTCTCATAGATGAATCCCTGTCTGCTTCCCTCAAATGTGAATTCCCTCCCTGTGAATGTCGTACAAAGGAGGAAACTATTCTCTTCCATACCTGTTGGTTTACAAACATCGAATTTTAACCACATTGTGAAAATTAAGGTTTTCATTCATAAAAAACCCCATGATTTACATTTGAGCTTTGTCAGAACAAAACCTAGACTTCATTTTGTTCACGAAAACAACAAAGCAGAATATTCAGTAGCTCAGTGTATAAGATTTTATCTGCATCTTTTATCAACTGGCAAAATTTTTTAGTTCCCAGCTGAATGTTCCAAATATCAGACTACAAGCTTCTTATTTGTTCTTGTTCTTTCTCTGTGGCTTAGTCTGAAGTTCCTTCCCATAGAGAGAAATATTTCTACCTAAAAGCATTTCAACGCAAAAAATTAGCAAACAATTTTAAAATTTCCAGCCAGCTCTAAATGCCTGACTACAGGTACTATTGAAGGGTTTTTTTTAGTGTTTCTCTGAAAACATGTTGATAAAGCATTAGAAATGAAATCTCTGACTAAATATCAGCCCGACCTTGAGGGAAGTGAAATGATTATACCTGACTCCAGTGTTAGGACTGTGCTATGAACTGTGCAGATTCCTTCTGAGAGTTGTAAATATGAAAATACTTCTCTTTTGCTTTCAGAATACACCTACCGATTAGACAAAGCCAGTGGTGTAGGTCTCCCAAAAATTCCAGTTCATCCCATTGGCTATCATGATGCTGAGTCATTACTGCGGTAAGTATATGGGAAACATAAGGAATTTTAAGCAGGCTGTTTTTTGAAAGTTATGAGAGTATCTGAAAAGAAAGAGAAAAGACTTTTGTACTGTGTTTCTATTGTAGTTGTTGAATTTACTAGTGCTAATGTAGCTAAAAAGACAGATTATTCTGCTGTGGAAGCTTGTAATATAAATTGTCTAAAACAAAGACCATCACTGGTGTGCGTGAGACCTAATGAAGTGGGATTCCTGGTTCCTCATTTGTGTTTGGTGCTATTGTAAGATGTCTGTAACTAATAATGATTTTATTTTTTTTTATTTTTTCATAATAGTCATATGGGAGGATATGCACCACCGCATAGTAGCTGGAAAGGAAATTTAAATGTATCTTACAACGTGGGTCCTGGTTTCACAACAAATTATTCTACAAGGTCAGTTTTGTTTCATAAGGAAAGTGTGCTTGGGATCAGAGAAAAACAGGTAGAGTAATGGAATTTGACCAAAGGTATCATTCCTTTGATTAAGACCATTTCCTGGGCTGAAAGGCACTCAGTCCAATGCTTCAGTAGATTTACATCTTGATTGGATGGATATTGTTTTAGTTTCCAACTTATCTTGAACCAGTTTCATTTGAAAAGCATCTAGCCTTTGACAAACTATTTGATGAGACTGATGATTTTTTTGAGAACTGAATTGGTTTGTTGTCGTCTTAAAATTCATTTAGGTCCAGCTTCTGGTCTTATTATTGCCTTATATAAAACAGTATTAACCTACAAATCAAGTTTTCCAGAAAAAAAGCTTTAACTACAATGTCATTTTTATTGCTTCAGATTGTTTTTGAACTGATTTAGTAATTAAAGTTTAGGGCTAAAATCCAGGTGTTTCAATATTGGCTGAGCTATTGTACTGACTTCATATAAACCGTTTGACCTTTTCCCTATGTCTTAGTCATACCACATGAAAAATTATTTCTGAAAAATATACAGACAGACCTTGAGGATGAGTTGTTGCACCTCCAGCTGTGTTGTAGATAAACAAACAAAATGTCTTGATGCAACTCAGGTTGTCTGATTTTCTGCTGCCTGAGAAGCCACATCAATGTTGACCATGCTGGAGTCAGTTCTAATTTGCGCCAACCTCTAGATGATTAGAACTATTTACCTTTTTAACATTAGATGGTTTTCATTTTTCTTTCAATCTTCCAAATTTTAAAACTAGCTGCTAGCAAAAAAATCTTTGAATTTGGAGTTCTGAGCCTATTATCCATATAAATCTTATTGACATCAATAACACTACATAGCTTTCAAGGGCTAAATGCTGTTTTCAATTGCACAAGTATAAATCCAGAAAAAACTACACTGAAATCTTTTCAGATTTATTTTGGTTTAATGGAGGGTCAATTTGGCCAAAATGCTTTCCTTACAATTTATATTGTACACTTTTGAAAGGTGTCAAGATGTTTTATTATCTAATCTGGTGGATTTTCTCTTTGGATTTTCTTGCCAATACACTAGAAAGGTGAAAATGCACATTCATAGCAACAATGAAGTAAGGAGGATTTACAATGTGATTGGTACCATCAGAGGCACAGTGGAACCAGGTAAAGTCATTTGTCTTGAGTGTAGTGTGAGTGTCCAGTGACCTCTACATGCACTTTGTAATTACAAGGGGGAAATGATGAATATGGTTTTCTCTAAACTATTGCACTGCATGATCATTGGTGTTGAAATATTTATTGCACCAGCTTTCATATGGTTCAGGGTATGTCAGCGCTTTGACTGTAAATGATGATTTCCAAGGGGGAGTTATAATCAAGGCAGAAATATTTGTCTTCAGGCAAGTAACTTCGCAATTGAAAGAATATTCTTGAGTGGATATTCTTTCATACTAACATGAGAATGGATTTTGCATTCCATCTGATGACATCATATCCACCACTACTGACTTTTTGTCTGTCTTATAGTCACTTGTAACCAGTGTGATTTTACAGTCTAAAACCCCAGATATATAGACAGCCTTAGGATGATGATAATATAATTTAACTTCTAACTGCGGCACTTCCCTGTTGCCTGAAGCACAACTGTTAACCATATTATGCTAGCACAGAGATCTAGTCTGGCTTTGATCTTATTAATCACATCTCTGTCATGATTTGGACAACCCTTTTTATGATTGACTATATATATGTATTCAGAGAAATACTGCATTCAGCACACCTTAATGTTGTGAGCTGGCATGCTGTACAAATATCATTAGTGAATCAGCTTTATCATGAAACACACTATTGTAAAATATGGAAAGATGCTTCTATCTTTAGAGGAAAGCTGCAGTATTTCTAATAATAGAAGTAACATGGAATATAAGAAGTCTTAAGTCTTATGATATCACATTAATTGTGTTTGAAAAATTCTTTAGCACTGTCTGAAAATGCAGAAAAACATCTTTGGAGATTCAAATTGTCTTTTGCTTTCCTATCATGTATATTATAAACTATTAAGCTTTGTTGCCAGATACCTACATGGAAAATTAGAAATTACTTCCAATTAACATCTCTATGGCAGGAAAAAGTTTTTCTAAGTAAACCTCCGTAATTAATTTCTCTAGACAGATATGTTATCCTGGGAGGCCACCGTGACTCATGGGTATTTGGTGGCATTGATCCTCAGAGTGGGGCAGCTGTGGTTCATGAGATTGTGAGGAGCTTTGGAAAACTGAAAAGCGAAGGTAATGTAATGAAAGACTAAAGCACACCAAAATCACTGCTCTGAGCAGTGCCCACTACTTTCTCTGGGATTTAAGCCTATGCTTAAAATTAAACATGGGTATCCCTGATGTCTTGAATAAGCATGCTGCTCTGCAGCGGTTAATTAGTTCCAGTTACAACCTTGGTATATGTGAGGTACTTCTACTCAAGAAAAAGTACACCTAAAGGAAAACAAAACACAAAATGGGAGATACTGAAATAAATATGACATTTAAGTACAATTGATTACTGTGTACTTGTGGCTGGGCAGACTGGATGTTTCAATGGCCCTATAAAATTGATAATACAGTGGTGGACTGATCAAGGCTTCATCAGGGCAACATTGAGAACCTTCTCAGCACTTGATGCACTTTGGAGACAGACCCAAGAATAAATTAAGCATGTCTGTGTAATGCAGAGAATGAGCTGTGCAAACATAGTAGGAGGTAATGGTTAAAAATACCTCATGCCTGGTTACATTAGAATGGGAACAAATGCCAACTGTACCAAGTTTCTGCTGCTATCAGAGCAAACGCTATCTCCCTGTCTGACATCCCATGGAAAGAAACTCTGACATAACTCAAATACTGTGCTAGAGGAACTTTCTTTGCCTACCCATTACGCTTAAAACCTATTGACATTTTGTTTTCTTTCCATTCCTTCACAGTTTTTGGATATCAGGAGAAACTGTCTTTAGAATGCAGGGGAGCAAAAGATGAAAAGGTTCCAGTAGCCTCAGAGAAAACTTTGGGCTGGGTTTAAATCGAATGCAGAATTCCAAGTGAAAGATCTTTGTTTTGAAGGTGATCTGTCAAAGTTACAGGGAATTCCTTAGGTTTTGAAATCCAGCATTTGGGAGACAGAAATTTGATAATAGATATGAAAACATGCCAAACGCTTTTCTGTCAAAGTAGACACTGGTGTACAATGTGTATTAAATTGGACAAAGCAAAAGAGTAGAAAAGCTTTCTTTCAAGAATTTGTGCAAAAGGACATTATTTTTCCTTGTTTAGAGTTTTGAATTTTAGAAAACTTTCTTACAATTAAAGCTGAGTTGAATACATTATTTGGCACAATATAGAAGTAGAAGTGATTGCTACAAAATTAGCAGACCATTATTAGATTAGATTAGATATAGCGAAGAAGTTGGTGTTAAAGTTCGTTAAATACACCTCTTTCCCCACAGATCAGGATAAGAGATGAGCCCCCCCAAAAATCATATTTGCTTTCATGTTCGTTACCATGTAACAAGCAGTCTTTATGTCTGTAGTACAATTTTCACGGTCTTTTGCAGGATGGAGGCCAAGGAGAACAGTGATATTTGCAAGCTGGGATGCAGAGGAATTTGGTTTGTTAGGATCGACAGAGTGGGCTGAGGTAAACCGGTAGTGTTCAAAGAGAAACTTTCACAGTGGCAGGTCTTTGATAAATCTGTACCAGAAAGCAACACTTCTTCCCTCCCTCCCTCCCTCCCTCCCTCTCTCCTCCTTACACTCTCGCACACTCACACACACTCTCTTAAATTTCCTTTTGAACTGCAAAGAATATATGGCTCCTTGCAGTATCTGATGACTTTCCCTGAAACAGCTGTATTTCTGTGGATGGGAAAAAAGCTCGCAGGGAAAAAAGTGTTCATCAGCATTTTCTTCCTCTTTTTGTTCTCATAGGAAAATGCCAAAGTATTGCAAGCACGAGGAGTGGCTTATATCAATGCAGATTCCTCCATCGAAGGTACATAGTTTTGACTTGTGGTTTACAGGAATAGTGATGGTGTATCCAGATGACTGGGAGGCATTTTGGCTTGGAGATCCGTGAAAGCTTCCGTGCGATAATGTTGTTGCATTAGTTCGGGAGTAGATATGGAGGGGAAACAGTGACCCAAAATCATAAAGTATCCTTCAGATATTCCTGTTTCTTCAGGGAAGAAGTCCGTTGCAGTAGCTACACTATTTGGGAAGTCATGGGGAGGGACACGAACTGTTGTGTCCCTGTCAGCAGTTCTATGGCAACTCTTTAGAGTCAGCTTGTCCTCTAATAACATGTGTAATGAACATAGGGACATACGAAAAGCTCTTAAGGGTTGCTTCGAAAGCTGGGCTGTAATTCATCTTCACCAATACAAATGCACTGACAAGATCACAGGAAAACTTTTCTACAGGGAGAATCAGCTTGTTCCTTGTAGAGAGTGCAGCTCTCTAATCCCTTTCTTACTAACAAATAATGGCATGAGGTTTCAGCTGAGTAGGACTTGCTTCTTCGAATAAATAGTTTTTCCTGTTTTTCAGGAAACTACACACTACGAGTGGATTGCACACCACTGATGTACAGACTGGTGTACAGTCTGACTAAAGAGGTAATATAACTTGAAATATTTAGCCAGCATGTTCAGTGCTCACTTACTGGATGGTCTGTATATAAAATATGGTGTCAGATGTTTCTTTCTTTTCTGCCTACAGTACCTCTTGTAAGTCAATAGCTAAGTAACTGGAGCTTTTTCCCAGGAGTGGTAAAGGAATTTCAAGTTTATATATAAAATTATTAGTTTTTCAGAATTAGGGTTTTTTTCCATTTCTCCTGTGAAAATATTCCTTCTAAGAACAAAAGAATAAAAAAATGCCATGAGCCAGATGACAAACAAGCACAAACCTGGCTGCCCAGTCCAACCGCTATGTTGCCCATGGTAGTGGGAGGCTCTGACTCCCTTTAGGCAGGGGAAGAAATTAGGCTTGCTACCGTGCTGTTTTTAGCATGATGTGACAGGTTCGATCAATGTGCTCTGCTTCAGTGTACCCTGTTAGATATTCATTGGCTCTGAACATGATGGTGTCACGCGTATTTGTGTGGCACACAAAATTAAAAGGTAGGGACCTTTCTCAGGAAATAGCCCCGTCATCTTAGATGTAAGATGTTCTTTGCTTTGAGAGTGGGTCTTAGAGGCTGGCACTACAGGGCTTTTTATTTCCTTTTTTTTCCCCCTGTTTATCTGTATTAAAGCATGAATATTTGATTAGTCTTCTTTGTGTGTGTTTTACATAGATATATATAATGTACATTCAACTACTTCGTATGTTCTATGAATCTACTACATCTGTCTTCATCTGCTGTATATATTCAGTCGTCTGTCTTTTCCAGGGTCATTAATTTGTTTTCTCTTGGAAGCTGGCATTAAACTGGTACAAAAGTAAAGGAAATGTACTAATTCAGTATAACCATTTTCTGGCAATTGAAAGACAGCAACTAATATTTAATTCTGTTAAAATTAGGTGCCCAGATAAAGATATTTCTGTCCTGAACTGCAGAAGAGCTGATCACCTGCAGTTCCCATGGTAACTTGTGCTAAGTGCAGGTATTCAGAACAGTCAGAAAATCAGGTCAGCAGAGTCTCAGTTTGGGCACCATGAGCAATCGTTAAAATGTTGTCCTAAATACCAGTAAACATGGTTGCGTAACTCATCCTGGAGCTGGGAAGCAGCAACAAAGGCTGAAGAATGCCTGTAACCACAGCGTGTTGGTAGCTGATGTCTGAAGAGAATGCTGATCAGAGAGCAGGTCCTGTGTGATCCCATCCAAGGTTAATCTGTGGCAAAAAGCGTTAATGCTGTTAGCACCATTCTATGAACAATTAGCTTCATGATCAAAAAATCCAGTATATTAGTTTTATTATTATTCCTGTTGTGGAGTAATTCTTACATAGTAGCTATAGCTATTAATAATGTAATACATATTAATAATCTTTAATAGAGGAAATATAATAAAACCTCAGCAGCCCACCAATAAAAAGGAAAGATGAAAGAATACCCACAGTGTTTAACCTGCTCAGTGATCTCAAAAGTAGTCAGAGTGATAGGAATGAACTTCAAGGTGATTATGATTTGTATATCTCTGTAGCAGCTATGATCACATAAACACTAAGTACTATACATTTTGCCCTTCTAAGGTTACTGCTGTATCTGTGAAAATTATTTTTGTGAACTAAAACAAGGTAGAAACAGTTTCAAATTAACCCAAGACAAAATTGTTTGAAATTTCCTGCCAAAGTAAAACAACGAGTTTTGGGTTTATGAGGGTTTTTTGCATTGAATATTTAAATTAAATGCCTGAAAATCTCATAAAGAAATATCAGAATGTAAATACTGACTTGAAATGTTTTGCTTTCCCTGCTTTTTCTTCCATTTAAAATTACTTATTTTCAGCAAATAAACTATTCCTCTGAAAAATGCTATGCATTTGAAAAAATAAAATGGAAATGCAGAAAGGTTGAGGGACTTCAGACTGTGATGCATTAATTTCCCTAAGCCATAGGCTTTATGTGATGACAGGTTATAGATTTGTTGCTTGGTAACATTTAAAATTGTACCCTTTGTCTTTTTTTACAATAAACTTTTTCTAGATACCAAGTCCCGATGAGGGGTTCGAAGGAAAATCTCTTTATGAGAGCTGGTATAAAAAAAATCCATCAAGAGAATATAAAGACGTCCCCAGGTCAGTGACAAAAAAAATAAACAGCATACCAAAAGTTATAACTTGTAGAGCGTGGGTTTTAAAGAAATATACACTTGAAAAACTGAGCCCCTAAAAGAAACGGTGTGATCCTCAGCTGGTATGAATTTCAGAGTTTTATTGATTGAAGCTGATACACAATTGTATGATAGTTTTGTGAACTTGCCTTTGTAGCATGAACAGGAAGCTTTATATAAGGGAAATGAAGTGTAGTTTATACAGATTTAGACAAATAAGGGTTGTATGCACAAGGCAGCATCAGGCACACAAGATGCTAAACACAGCAGCTTTCCCTTGCACTTGCTGCAAGTCTTCCGGAAGGCCTCTGAGTTTGGGTGGCCAGGGAGTACATCAGACAGGTTTTTACAACACTATCCTTCAAAATTACCAGGGTTTCTCTACAGAGCCTCAAAGACTGATTCTGTTCCGTGGAGCCACGCTAGTACTGTTGTGTTTTCTCTGAGTTGAGAGCTTTGGATAGTGGAAGTTCAGTAGGAAGAAGGTCATTGGGTCTTCGCAATGATTAAAGACAGTGAGTTAAATTCTCTTCTTGAGAGTTTGATTTCTCTGCCCCTGAGAATGCTGACTGTGCTCCTCCGAGAATGCAATCGATGAGGTGCATGTAATGTAGGGGTCACAGGCCA